GCATGTCTCCATCCTGCCGGGCTTTGGGGCACACAGGTACACACGCCCAGGGGAGTTTCCAAGCCAGGGTTCACACCATATGGTCGGCCATGCGGGATCTGCTCCCTTAGGCCACAGGGATTATGGCCAACGTGAATGTGGGAGACACCCCCCAGGGTCCCATCACACCACTAGGCCCCTCCACAGCCCTGGGGCTCTCCAGGTCTCGGGTGGCCACGTGTCCATTCAGGCCACCTGGGGACCCGAGCCCGCCAGCAGCCATGTGGCTTCCAGCACCGCAGCCCTGGATGCTCCTCAGGAAGCGGGCTCTCACCATGCCCGAGCGCCTGGGCTGAAGACACCTGCAGTGTTTGTTTGGAAGCCCAGCCAGTGTTGTGTCTGTGTGCACATGCGCCTTGTGGAGGGGTCAGTGACAGCCGGCTCGGTAGTGGCACCGGCACAGTCTGAGCCACACCGAGCTCTCCGGGAAGCTGCCTGCTGCCCCGCAAGGCCACTGCCTGGGGGCACCGTCCCACCTGCTCCTTGCGGCACCCGGAGGCCCCCCTCCCTCGTGCCCTCCCTCCGGTTTACGAGAGGACGGGGCTGGTGACCATGGCCCCAGGCCCGGGACCTCAGAGGGGCACGATTCCACCGTGTAGAGGGGATTTTACGCTCTCCAATGGTTAATAATGGACAACAGAACTCGTTATTACCCAACACAACGGCTGGTAAGACGGGTCCAGGGAGCAGAGCTCCCACTGAGGCCTGAGGAGAGGCTGTGGGGGCAGATTCAGAGTACGCTCAGGGAGGTGCACAACCCGCGGGCCGAGAGCCGGGCTGGGGCAGTCTGGAACGCAGACGTGGGAGCAGCTCCCCAGTCGCCCTCGGTGCACACACTGCGGGTGCCTGGCAGGGCGCGCTGGCTCCTTCTGCAGGAAGCCCCAGGGGCCTCACTGCGTGGGGCCAAGGGCAGGTGCACAGCAGGCAGGCAGCCCCTCGGCCTCCCCACTGGAGGGCAGCCCGGCCTTCCTGAAGAGCTCGCCTGGAGGGCAGCGCCTGGGCGGCACGGCCCTGAGCAGGCGGGCGCACCGCACTCCATCCTGGGCCCTGGCCCGTGAGCACCAAGCGCCAGGCGCCACTGGGCACGGCGGGGCAGGAAAGGGACAAC